GAAGTGATGCTGATGGTGCAAGATCCCGAGGAGACACGAGTGTGGGAGCACGACCTTCATCTGCCCGGTGAGCCTTAACTCAGCACAAACTGAAACCTGACAGAGATCCAACCTGCACATAAAAGAGAAACGAACTTAATTCTCTCAAATCTCCGTCCTCGTTTCACTGTTAAATAAATGTAAAATAATAATAAGTTTATTAAGTTTACACCGCTGTGCGTCTGCCTGATTCAGTCTGCGCTCTGAATTTCATCCACAGTCAGTTTAGTTCGAAGCACATCTAACTGCAGCACACATTAACCAAAGTGCTGCACAGCTAAATGCAATAAAAGCCTCGAGGCTGAACAAATGACAAAAAAAGTCTTCGTCCAGATGAACAGAATCAACTTCCTGGGATTTTTAAAAAAAAAGATTACTTGGAGGTGAAACACCTCATCTCATTAATACTATAAACCAGTGTGTCACACAAAGCCAGGATTATCCCACAGGAAGGAAACAGCCTGGTACATACACACAACATTCAGGTGCAGCCAAAGGAAATCCTGCTTCTACTAAAGGCACGTAACAATGCCTTCAGATCAGGTGACACTCAGGCCTGCAGTACGTCCAGGGCAGACCTGAAGAGGGGCACCAAGAAGGCCGAGCACAGCTACAAGCTGGAGGAACACTTTGTCAACTAGGACCCACGATGCCTGTGGCTGGGCATTCACACCATGAATGTTTCCTCCTTCAATGAGCTTCTACGCTCATTTTGACAAGGACGACAAGGAAAAGTCTGCCATAACCTTCTCTTACCACCATAGATGTCCATAACGCACTGAGCAGTATCAACGCTCACCAGGCTGCTGGCCCTGACGGCATTCCTGGACATGAGCCTCCAGCATGTGCTGAGCAGCTTGCAGGAGTCTTCACAGACATCTCTAACACGTCGCTTGCCCAGGCAGTAGTACCAGCGTGCTTCAAGACCACCTTCATCGTGCCAGTGCCGAAACACTCATCACCAGCATGCCTGAACGACTTCAGGTGGGAGAGGACAGACACCCATGTCCCCATCTACATAAATGGCACAGCTGTTGAACGAGTCTCCGGCTTCAAGTTCTTGGGGACCCACATCTCTGAGAATCTGACCTGGTCAACTGACACCTCCAGCCTGGTCAAGAAGGCCCATCAGTGCCTCTTTTTCTTGAGGACACTGACGAAGAACCACCTGTCTTATGACATACTGGGTAACTTTTACTGGTGTG